TAAACAAATATTATTTTTTATTAAATTTATATATAGCCCTTCATCAAGAGATCCCAGGGCAGTTCACAGAATAAAATACAAGATAAAACACAAGTAAATAATTAAACCAAAACAACAGATCCACCTTGCCAGTATGTTGCAACTGACCTTAGAACTATTCAAAATAAAAACAAATTCAAACAGATCCCAGAGCTCAAGTACAAGCAACATTACACATCACCATCTTCACTCAGAAGTCCTCTTTTACTACAGGAGAGCAAATGTAGCAAGATTGTGCCTTCTCCTTAACAGCCACAGGTGCCTTCGAGGAGGAAGAGCCTTTGAGGAGTAGGGCTAGGAACGAGCTCTGAGTAAGACCTGTTTTTTTAGATCATGCAAAATTGTCTCATAACATGCTAAGGTTCCAATATAGTTTTGCTTAAAAGTCCCAACCCTGTGGAAGTATTTTTCTTAATGGACATACAGAACTAGCACCTGCTCTTAATCTGTTCTTATTTGCTTCTCTCTCCTGCTCCTTTCTAATATGGCCTGCATCATATTTATATCCTAAGGAAGGTTGCAAGGTGATCTGCAAATAAAGTCATCAGTTCTCTGGGAAAGAAGGTGCACTAGGGAGATGTGCAGTTTGTTCCTCACCAACAGGCTGTTAATTACACCCTTGTGCAATAAAGCCTTCAGTCCCTTCCCCCACCCCAGATGATCTCCGGGAAAGAACATGCTGTGCATGAATTGCTAGTTCTGTGGCTAGAAGGCTGTTGCTCCACTCTCAAGTTTAGGGGTCAAGGGGTTGTTCAACAGTGGATCTGCAGGGTGGGGCGGCTTAGCCTCTCCCCTTGAGAGGAGGCAAAAGGCTTCAGAGGACTCTGCCTGGTCCTTCCTGTAGGTGGCATCATCCCTATCAAGAATGTCCTTCAGCAGCATCTTCAAACAGAAATTCACAGTGCAAATGGTAAAATGAATTTCCTTTTTTTTTAACCAAAGGTAAGATTACCTAGCTCAAAATTTAATGCACTTTCTAATGGTCTTAGTGGCTCCAGTGTTCCTACTGCTAATCATATCTGGGCAACAGTGGCACATAGGGTTGCCATATTCCCAAAAGTGAGTTTCCGGACAAAAAATAAGTCCAGGTTTTCCCGGACGGTGAGCTTCAGCATCTCTTTTTCTAGAAAATAACACTGGGAATATGGAAAAAGAAATGAAATGTAGGACAATGTCCTTAACCCTGGCATTACTAGCCTTACTGACTTAACCCAAGTAAATGATTTTTTGAGATCCAAGTCTTGATGGTGTTTTGCAAAACACATACCCTCTTGTACTTTGGCCTTAGGCCCCTCCTATTAGCAACAGAAACAACACCAACTGACTCTGCAAGCAGCAGGTATTTTTCATGCAGAGACCTAAGGCATTATTATTATTATTCTTCATACCATTCACTATTGTATGCTGCAACCCCAAAGAGTGTGTCCGAACCGAAAAAACTGCATAAATATTGTGACAGCTTTGCTGTATGCAGACACGATGGCAGGAGAACAAGGTTGCAGACAATAAATAACTCAGCATCTCCAACAGTTAAACATGCATTCAGTTTGCTAATTTAATTTCCTGTGGCCCCATATTAATTGGCTATCAGAAAATGGGAAACAAATCTGGTAACAAATATAAAGAAAGATTTGTTTCTTATTTTTCTGGTTATTTTAAAAATGAGATACTACTTAAGCACAATCAAAGAGCTACTTTAGGAGCACATAGTGGAATTTTTGAAGATAACTTCTACAAGTACCATTTAAATGAATGGGGTGTGTGCAAGAACACTACTCTGCGGGAGAAGTTTCAAGCGGACTACACCCTTTGACTATTTTTCTTTCAAAAGCAACCCACCACTCTATGCACATGAGGTGAGTCGCCAACTTCTCAGATATAATAATAATAATAATAATAATAATAATAATAATAATAATAATAATAATTTTATTTATACCCTGCCTGTTTGGCTAGATTTCCCCAGCCACTCTGGGTGGCTCCCAACAGAATATTAAAAATGCGATCAAACATTAAAAACTTCCCCTAAGCCAGGCTGCCTTCAGATGTCTTCTAAAAGTCAGATAGTTGTTTATTTCCTTGACATCTGATGGGAGGGCGTTCCACAGGGTGGGCGCCACTACCGAGAAGGCCCTCTGCCTGGTTCCCTGTAACTTTGTTTCTCGCATTGAGGGAACAGCCAGAAGGCCCTTGGTGCTGGACCTCAGTGTGAATCTGCCCACTTAGGCTGGTCAATGGCTCTCCCTCATCAGAAAGGTTCAGGCTCAGTAAATAATCTGTGTAAGGAGAATCCATCCAGCTATTGGTAATCAGGACCCTTAGCTTTGTTTTGTTTCTTTACAAAAATGATTTATTTTAATAATCCAGTGGTGATACCAAATGAAAGGAAGTTTTGTCCAAAATTACTGACTAGATTTTATAAAGTGTGTCTACTTCTTCAGTCCCTCCCTTCAAAGGAGTGTTAGGGTTGATTCAGATACAGCTTTACTGTTCACTGTATTATACTACTTAAATGTGGATTGCTAACCTGTTTTGTAAAAGAAAAGCACCAGTACACAAAATTATTTTACAGTGAACTTGAGACAAAATATACTGAAATTGGATATTATTAGGATTTACAGATTACTAACTTCTTAGTTAAGGAAACACTAGTTTATCCTAACTTCTTAGACTAGAACATACCGTATTTTTCGCACCATAGGACGCACTTTTTCCCTCCTAAAAAGCAAGGGAAAATGTGTGTGTGTCCTATGGAGCGAATGCAAGCTTTCGCTGAAGCCTGGAGAGTGAGAGGGGTCGGTGCGCACCGACCCCTCTCGCTCTCCAGGCTTCAGGAAGCTATCCGCTAGCCGTGGGAGTCCCAGCTCTCCCACGGCTAGCGGAGCGCTGCATTAATCCCGAAGCTTGGGGCGTGCGGAGCTCAGCGCGCCCCAAGCTTCTGGGTACCGGCAAGGTCTCCGCTAGCCGTCAAGGAGACCTTGCCGGCACCCAGAAGCTTGGGGCGCGCTGAGCTCCGCACGCCCCAAGCTTCGGGATTAGCGCTCCGCTAGCCGTGTCTAGGCTGCGGATAGCAGCCTGCTTCCCGGAGCGTCGGGGCACCCTGAAAGCAGAGCGCCCGGCGCTTCGGGAACACATCCGCAGCGTGGGGACCCTTGCAGGAGTTCCCCGCAAGGCTCCCCACGCTGCGGATAGCAGCCTGCCGCACAGCGCGAGGGGCGCCCTGAAGCAGAGCGCCCCTCGCGCCGGGCAGACATCCGCAGCGTGCGGAGCCCTGCAGCAGTTCCCCACAGGGCTCCCCACGCTGCGGATAGTAGCCCTGCTTCCCGGAGCGTCGGGCGCCCTTGAAAGCAGAGCGCCCGGCTGCTCGGGAAACACATCCGCAGCGTGGAGAGCTTGCAGGAATTCCCCGCAAGGCTTCCCCACGCTGCAGATAGCAGCCTGCCGCCCGGCGCGAGGGGCGCCCTGAAGCAGAGCGCCCCTCGCGCCGGGCAGACATCCGCAGCGTGGGGGAGCCCTGCAGCAGTTCCCCGCAAGGCTCCCCAAGCTGCGGATAGCAGCCTGCCGCCCCGGCGGGTGGAAGCGCCCCTGAAGCAGAGCGCCCTCGCGCCAGGCATACATCCGCAGCGTGGGGAGCCCTGCAGCAGTTCCCCGCAAGGCTCCCCAAGCTCCGGAATAGCAGCCTGCCGCCCGGTGGGTGGGGCGCCCTGAAGCAGAGCGCCCCTCACGCCAGGCATACATCTGCAGCGTGGGGAGCCCTGCAGCAGTTCCCCGCAAGGCTCCCCAAGCTGCGGATAGCAGCCTGCCGCCCGGCGGGTGTGGCGCCCTGAAGCAGAGCGCCCCGCGCACTAGGCAGACATCAGCCAGCCCCACAAGCTCGTGGGACAGCAGGGAGGCGCAGCGCCACTATCCCGCTGTTCCTCGACCTGGTTCGGTTTCCCTGACCTGCTTTTGGGGG